GCCTGAACTGAGTCTTACAACTCCATGTCAATCATAACATTTGTCCTGACATTAAGTTTAGTAGGAGTAGGGTCTGCATTCATTGCAACCCAGGACACATCTCAGCAGCTGAGAGGCTTAAATGAAACATTCCACAGTCCCCTGTTGCAAAAACCTAGCAAAGCTATGATGCTCTTCTTTAGAATAAAGGCCCCTTTAGCATTCCATAATTCAGGAGTCTTCTCCATATACTTCAGGGTTCTCCAGGAGCCCTCTGACTGACACAGTGGTCAACCGAGATCATGAAACACAGTAGAGGAGGGATGTGGTATCAAAAGAAAATACACAGGCCATAGTCAAAGAGAAAGACAGGGAAGCAGAGGGGCCTATAATCACAATGGTGTAAGTGCCCTGTCACGGAGGAGGTGACTGGTACCTCCCCACCCCCATGACTACTATTTTCAAAACTCAGTGGAAGAATGAAACAGGAAGCCAACTGAGTCACTAATGTTTGGGAATCATAATAATCAACTGTTTTGAATAATCAGGGGACTAGGTGAGGGTACTTCTTTATAGCTTTCTCCTCAATGGATCAGGGGAAGTTTGCATCTACGTGCTGACTTCGTGCTTCTTCCCCATATGGCACTGTGCTGGAGCCAGGGTCTGCTGACTAGGATATTGCCCTGACCTCTGACAAAATGGACAGGGCTGCCTACTTCTCCCTAAGATGTTTTCAAAGCTAGATGGTCAACAAAGATAGTCTCAGCATCTTAAGAGTACACAGGTGTCTACAGTGACTGACCAGTTAGGAAGGGCCTGCCCACAGCTCTGGGCTTGGTTCTCCTCCTTGCTAAGCCCTCTGATAATTATCAGTGATGGCCTATCACTGTGGTCTGGGGCTCCACTCCACAATGAAACCCAGACACACTGGAACACTCTGCTGCTGGGATCACATACTCAAATTTGAATAAAGACTCGGTACCAGAGCAGGAAAAGTCTATCCCTCATATATGCTTTCCATGCCTTCAAAATTATACTCTCCCCTTCTCTTTGGTCTCCTTCAAGGTTATCAGGAATCTTGACAGTAGTTCAGAAATCCTGCGTTTCAGCTCTTACCTAGAAAATAATGCTTAGATAAGGAGGCCCTGGTGGTGTCAAAGTTAAAGCATTTGACTACTAACTGCTAGATTGGTAGTTTGACCCCACACAGAGGTGCCTAAGAAGACAGGCTGGAGATCTGCTTCTGCAAGGTCAGAGCCTTAAAAACCCTGTGGAGCAGTTCTACTCTGCACACACGAGGTCTCCATGGGTTGGAACGGACACAACGGTAACCAATGACAACCTTAGATAATACTCTTGGGTTGTCTGGTCCTGTTGACCACTAAGGGTATCTAGATCTCTCAGATTTCCTGAGAAGTATCTTGGTGTTTGGCATCTTGGGACATCAGAGTCACCACCCTCTGCCCCTTTCAGTATGAGAACTTCTTGCCCTACTTGGTCTCCACACATAAAACGGCAAGTGTGATGGAAAACAGACGTCATCCTTCAAATGCCAAGTGCTTCCCTGGGGATGGGCTCGGGCTCCCAGGCAGTCAGGCTTAATCTGATGGGTAGATTACCCCTTCCAGCAGTGTCCACCTCTAACCCAATCGTGCCGCCCAGGGCACCGGATGCAGCTGATACAGAGAGGCAGACACCAGGCAGCTGGGAGAGGGGCCGTCCCTCCCTGAGGAGGGCTTTCTGAATTGCAGAAACAGCTCTCAAATTGGCATCTAATTAAATCAGCTGTCTTTACAATGGGGGTGCTTTTAGGGGAAACTAAAATGCAGAGTTATTATCTGTCAAATCTAGTTTGTGTCACTTGGCCCTCTCTTTGATCTGGAGGTACCTGGAAACACAGAACATTACATCTGTGGCTTCTGTACCCACAAGGTCAAGGTGAGTCTGAGTCCAAGGTCTCTCCAAGTCAAGGTGTTTGTAGCTCAGCAGTAGCTTTCTCTACTCCACAACCTCTTTTCTGCAGTTAGGTAAAATAAAAGCATATAGACTATACAATGTCAGGCTCACCAGAGCCCTAAATTTCTCTACCTTTATAGGAATCATCTTTCTGCTTTTGTATTGATTAAAGAAAAGAGAGAAAGAGATCTCTGATAAGGTCAGTCTAAGAACCCTGCCCCTTTCTCTGTTTGCTTCTTTTAAACATTTCCAACCACTCCTATCCTACTTCCAAAAGAATCTAGCATCCCTCAAATGCAAAGTTATTTAGTTAGTTAGTTGGTAGGTAGGTAGTTAGAACTAAGCTTTACTGTTTCCTTGGCCCACATTTGACTTTTCCTATTTTCTTATGAGTTCTTTTTGTAGCTCCCCCCTCTAGTTCCCATCCTCCTACCCTAGCCTACAAATATTGCTAAGTAATTCCCAAGATAGTGTTGGTTATGGATGCTGGTCCTTAGGCCCTGAGCTGGCTCCATCCCTGAACTGCCACCCAGAGTCTTGGTCTAAAAAAAGATCCAAGTTATTGAGACCACGGGGTTAGAGTTGGCAGATAGTACTCTGCCCCACTCTGTCTCTTGTTGCTTCCTTCTTGGGTACAGCTGTTTGCGAGAGTTAGTTCAATTATCCCTGGCTAGACAGGGCTAGAAGAGAGGGAAAAGCTGGTGGCAGTCATGAGCAAAAGCCTTCGGGAAAGGATTGTTATGCCTGAGGAGACAGTTTTGGGCTGAGAGAAGGGTAGTCTCCCAGAGATCTTTCCTTCCTGACTGGTCCAGGAAAGAACATAAGGTAAGAGTTCAGGGGGTGGGTGGGATGGGACAAAGAGGGGAGGAAACGCAGGGTCCTTCAAGTAGATGGATTTCCCTCTCAAATACTAGTTTCCTCCTAGATGCACCATGGCCTCAAGAAGCAAGCCAATCTTGGGCCTCCACCACTTCCTGGCTTGTGACCTTGGGTGCCACTTCACCATGAGCCTTTGGCTCCCTCTACTGTAGATTGGGTATCTTTTCTGCTGACCTCACAGGACTACTGGAAGGAGACAGCCATGCTAGAAATGGGGGTGGAAGCCCTCAACATAGCATTTATCAGAGGTGAGAAATCGCTCTGGTAACTGCCATCATTATTTGGGGAAAGACAAATTGATACCAACTTCTCATACTGTCACCAAGTCCCTGTAGTGTCTCCAAGCCCTCTTGAAGTATTTGCTTCTGTTAAAACAAACAACAACTAAAATTTGTCATCGTGGACTGATGACACCTGACCAAATGTCTTCATTTAAATGACAAGAACAACTTCCAAGAAGCAGTGACTGTTCCCATATTGGCATTCTCCCTGGAAAAATGTGCTTCCCTCAGGCCAGGGCAGAAGCACTATTCTTGCTGACACATGGGTTGTGAGGGCTAATTCCAGAGCTTCAAACCGGTTCAGTTATGGCTGACACAGTGAAATTAGAACAGATCTGAATTTGTAAAATGTTGGTGCACCACAGTGACGACTGGAATTGTAAAAAATTATAGGCTGCAGCCCTGGAATGGGAGATTCAAAATGGGGAGAGTGGGCCCTTTAGTGAGCCTGAGGAGGGAGATTGGATTGTTTCCAGTGGAGAAGGACACACAGTCAAAGTTACATGACCAGCCACCATTTTTGAGAAGGACACTGTTGTTTTTGACTCTACTAATCTAGGAGCTCTGGTAGCGTAGTGGTTATGAATCAGGCTGCGAACCACAAGGCCAGCAGTTTGAAACTAACAGCTGTTCCATGGGAGAAAGATGAGGCTTTCTGCTCCCGTAAAGATTTACAGCTTTGGAAACCCTGTACGGGGTTGCTATGAGTCAGAACCGATTCCACGACACATAACTACCACCACCAGTCTAGGACTTTTGGGGTGGCACTGTAGGATCAGCACTGGATTGTGAACCACAAGGTTGGCAATTCAACCCCTCCCCCCCCCCACCCCCCAGCTGCTCCTCAGAAACTCTATACAGGGTTGTTATGAATCGGAAGTTGACTGGGCATTTAACAACAGCAATCTAGAGATTTGGTTGCTATGCAACGTACATGTTATATTGCCTTTGGTTTCTAAGAGGCAGATTAAGTTTCTAGCAGTTATGAGCCATGTTTTACAAATTCAGGTGTGTTTTGGTTTTGCTTTGTCTCAACCATGACTGAACCAGATGGAATGGTGTAGAGCCCTGGTTCCAGCCAAGCTCATCCTACCAATCTCTCATCACTGGGAGGTCAGTCCCATTTGGTGATTTTTTTTTTCCCCCAGTAGAAAGACACACAAATGATAGTAATTTTTAACTGCCTCTCTATTGGGTCAAGGAAAGTTCCCTCTCTCGCAAAGATGGGCTAAGAATGGCCTTGTCGTTCTGGGTGGAGTGAGGGTGGCTTCTAGGGAGACTTTGATCAAGTAGGCACTACCAGACAGGGGCTCTGCTTTCTTTCAAAATACAACTTTTTGCTGTTTTTTCCATGATTAAAATCTTCTGGTGTGGAATGGAGAAGAGAGCATAAATACTTCTGAAATCTACAGTACACTGTGTGCTCACCAAGTGCTGAACCAAAATTGGTCTGATAGGGGAGTGGAGAGGGCCCCAAGATTACATGTCACTCACAGTCTAGGATGGGCTATTTATTTCTCTATCTGCTACTTAGGGATCACGCTTTGAAAACTAAAAAAGAAATCTCAGGCTCTACAGGGCCTCTGTGCAAAGGCTGCCCGCCCCACTCCCTAGCTTCCAACTTACCCTGAAGATAAACTGCTGCCTGGGTTCCACCTCCCCTGAAACTGCCTCTCCACCCCCCCACCCAATCCCACTGCTTTTATTGTGTGTGTGTGTTTTATTTTAAATCCATAAGGTAATTGGTTTTCTGCAGGGCTAACTGCATTTCCCCAATTTAATTTGCAAAGATGCTCCCCAGGAGCCATTATAGTGCTCGCTGTCCTTGAGATTGGATTACTGGCCTCTCTGGGGCTGCTGGATTCGGAGTCAGAAAGTGGGGCCTGGCCCCCATAACCTGATTACCTGAGCAGCGGAACTTCTTGCTCTTGATCTGGCTGATGCGCTTGTTGGCGAGCCGTCGTGGGCTGCTGCAGCGTGCCCCGCTGGTCTCGATGGGGTTATCCTGGAGGTAGTCGGCCAACCACTTCAAGTGGCAGTCGCACACAAATGGGTTTTGGGCTAAGTGGCTGTGAGAGGGATGGGGCCATTAATCAGAAGTGACCGCCATAGTGCCATACTCTACTGCTGCCCTGCCTGGCGCTGGGCCCTGGTGATCCCATTCAAGGCTCCCTCCCCTCATCCCCCCAGGGGGTCTGGGCCAGAGCTGGGGCTGCTTTCAGATGTGACTCAGAGAGGAGACCCCTGAGGTTTACAAAAGACAGTCACAGATGTGGCCGGCATCTGGCTTGTGGACTTGGTCTCCCAGCTCTTGCACATGGGGAAGGATCACCACTGCCTGTCTCTCCCTCTCCCCACACCAACTCTGATGGGCACAGCAAGTCGAGTGCCTAGGATCTACACTTATGGCCAACTGCAGTTTATCCTTCCAAACTCAATAATACCAGGCATTGAAAGCAGCTGGTGTAGCAATTGGCATATGGTGGGTGCTACATATACAGTAGGTAGCCTTCTTGTCATTGTCATCACTATAGCACCGTAGGACTTGCTCCCCCTAGCTCTGTAAGAGCAACTCTACAAAGCCCCAAACACAGTGCCAGGCCCGTGGTCAGGATTCAATCTGTACAGTAGCTGTTCTCACTCCATATTGGTTTCTGGTTGTGAGGGCAGCGAGTCCCAGACAACTTAGCTGGTCTTTGGAAGATCCCAGGCTAATAATAAGGCCTGGGGCTAGAGTCATCAAAATCATGGGCTGAGATGCCATTTATCTGAAATATTTATGAACATCTGCAATGTTTGGGATTCAAACATTGGGCTCCAAAAGGAAAATGAATGCCCTCAGCATGCTCCTAGCAGAGACTCGGTTTGTAGGGTGGAGCAGGGAGTGTTGGTGGTTGGCTCTGGGTTATAAACAGAGATGGCACCTGCTCAGAATACAATAGCAATAGTGGTTAAGAGAGCTCATGAACTCCTCTGCTTAGATTCACACCCTGCCTCTTACTAGCTATCTTGAGTAAGTTACTGAACCTCTCCGTGCTTTGGTTTCCACACATATAAATTGGAGATATTAATAATAATTATAGTATTCATAGAGTTGTTGTAAGCTGTAAAAGTTTTCTACAGGGAAAGTACTCGGCACCATCTTGAACTGAGTAAATACAGTATAGGTAAGCTGTTGTTATTTACAAGGTCTCTGGATAGTGCAAATGATTAATGCACTCAGCTTCTAACCTAAAGGTTAGAGGTTTGAGTCCACCTAGAGGTGCCTTGAAAGAAAGGCTTGGTGATCTACTTCTGAAAAATCAGCCACTGAAAACCTTCTACTCTGACACACACTGGGTCTCCATGAGTCTGAGTTGATGCTTTGGAAACTGCCTTTATTGCAATTTGTATGATTCAGACTCACTGCAGGCCCTAGAAAGCCTCCTTGCACATGGTGTCTTGTCCCCATTTTGGTATTCTCTGTGATGGAGGTTCGGGGCTTCTTGCAACCTGGGCACCTGCTGGCACTCCCAGGTGAGCTGTACCAGGCCCTGCATGGAGACATACTCACAGCGTCTGGATGGACTGTAGTGGGGCAAAGAGGCCCTTGCTGATGGTCTGCAGCTTGTTGTCATACAGGGAGAGCAGGTTGAGGTTCTGCAGGTCCTGAAACGTGTTCACCCGAAGACAGTTGATCTTGTTGGCATTGAGGAGGCTGCAGGCAGAAGAGAAGCAGAGAGGCACTAACTCCGGTGACTACACAAGGGTCACTCCTGGCAGTATTCCCTGTGGCCACGAGTACTTTACACCCAGTCACCATGGACACTGTGCTGTACTCTCACTAGGAGCCTTCCCTTTGTCCCCATACACAGAGGGTGCCTGGCTTTCTGCTTTAGAATTCAGACCTTTCAGGAATCTCAAAGAGGAAAAAAAAAAAATCATTTGGCACAATTGTTTTAAAGCTTCAATTTTGATTCAGAAAATTCCCTAGAGATCTTTTGGATCACTGACCCCATTGGAAATCTCACGGAGGTTTCATATGTCATCTCCCCAGAAGAAACACATCTGTGCGTAGGTTTGTTCGCGAGTGCACTCCTACATAGGAGAGACACGCATGTTCTTCTCCCTCCCTTTCTCTCTCACACATTCCCTCTTCCCCACACACAATCACTCTTCCTCTCACGTACTCTCACACACGGCCCCTCGCTCTTTCCCCCCCAACACCCCCCACACATTCTCTCTCTCTCTGACAGACAGACAGACAGACAGACACACACACACACACACATGGAACCCTGTGTTATTTCACTTCTGCCCCCTCCTCCTATTTCATCCTAACCCCACTCACTCCTCACTCACTGCCTACCAGCCCTCTCTGGCCTCCTGTTAGCTACTCAAACACACCAAGTCTGTTTATACCTAGGGCCTCTAAATGCTTACTTCCCTCCCTCTTTTGCATCTCAGCTCAAGCATCATTTCCCCAGAGAGGCCTCTTCTGACCCCCTCAACCACAGTAGCCCCTCCTCACCAGTCCCCAATGTCTTCACAGCTCCCTGTTTATTTCCTTTCTAGTCCGTATGTCTTTATTTGGGATTACAAGGTATTTGCTTTCTTGTCGAGTTCATCTTCTACATCAGACTATAAGCTCCCTGGCAACACAAATGACATCTATTTTATTCATCCCTTCATTCCTAGTATTTAGCACAAGAATTCGTTAAATCCCGACACCAGCTACCCTCAAGTTGTTTCTGACTCATGATGACTCTGTGTGTGTCAGAGCAGAACTGTGTTTCATAAGGTTTTCATTGGCTGATTTTTCAGCAGATCACCAGGCCTTTCTTCCGAAGCACTTCTGGGTAGACTCAAACTTCCAATCTTTTGTTAGTGACTGAGTGTGTTGTATGCATGACCCAAGGACTCCTAAAGCAATCTACACAACTCATATACAACTTCAAGGACTCTTGGTGTGGCGCTGAGGGTTAATGTGCTGGACTGCAAAGTCAGTTTGAACCACAAGGTTGGCAAATTCAAGCTAACAGGCCAATTCTTCAAAATCCTATACAGGTTCGCTATGGGTCGGAACTGACTTGACGGCACTTAACAACAACAGCAACAACATGGAACTTCAAAGGTCACAATCCTCCATGGTGGCATCAATGTCCCAGCTTCAGCTTCTCCATCCATGAGGGACTCATTCCGCTATGTTTTTAACTCTTTAGACACAGGAGTATCACAAAAAATTGAAGCATCAATCAAAAGGTATAACTCTGGTCTGTCACAGAGGCTGTTATATGAATCTAGGAGAGTTTTCCAGAAGCGGGGCTGGGCAAATCAAGCAAATCTAAGAATTTTCTTTATGATTCTAAACCCAGTAGTTATGCCCTAAAAACAAGCATAAGTCACACCTCACTCACTCTTGATGGAAAGTGGAGCGAGCGGGAGGAACGAAATGTTGAATTTTTAACATGTCTTATTTTCAAGGCTGGCTCAGACATTCCCTTGGGGTGAGCGGCCCAGGAGATCTGTAATGAGCTGGCTTGTCTCAGGGGTCTCTCAATGCTGGCACCCAAGCGGACTTCAGCTGCAACTGTGGGTTGCCCACGGGTGCTAGATCACCCATACCACATCTCCCTTGCTGCAGGCCCACTTCCCTGTGGACCCCCTGCATGCCCATATGCTGGTAAGCAGGCAGTTACCACAGTGACAAGTGGAAGAAGAGCTGTCTGTTTAATCTGGCTAATAATGGGCAGAGTCCCAAGGGCTTACACAGATGTCCTCCTGCCTCTCATGGAATAAAAGCTCACGTGGCTAGAATACTTTATTTTTTTGAATGTTCTCCCAAATTCTTTTTTATATACTCTCCTGACATCCTATTATTTTCACAATAACCTTACAAGTTACAGGTGAAGAAACTGAGGCTACCAGTTGGGGCTTGTTCAAGGTCACATGTTTCCAGAAGCTTTGCTGGAAGTGGTTATGATAATTTAGGTCTTCAGGGGGTTCAGCTTCTCCTTTATGAATGCTTAATCTACCCCACCCATCTGTCAGCCCTCTTTCAATATTTCCCCCAAGAATTTCCTGTGCTTTGTCAGTCACACTGTAGCCAAGGACCAGAGAAACAGAAGCTGAAGGACACAACAGAGTCAAGCAACCAAGGATCAAGGAGTGGACTCCTCACACACACATACTTTTTTCATTGTTTGCTTAAACAGAAAAAGTATGTGGCAAATGATGGGTCCCAAACTGAGCTACTCAGGGCCTTCTGAGGGCATCTGATGAGGAGGCTTGCAGGGAAATACTAAACTACTCCATTAAGAGACCAGGTCATAGGTCAGAGGTGCCAATCTGATGGCCCAAAGATAGAATCCTCTCCACAACAGCATATGGCAACCTGCCATATGCATCCATAAGGAGCTCTGGTAGCATAGTGGTTATGAGTCAGGCTGCTAACCTCAAGGTCAGCAGTTCAAAACTACCAGCTGTTCTGCGGGAGAAAGATGAGGTGTTCTGCTCCCGTAAAGATCTGCAGCCTCGGAAACCCTGTGCAGGGTCACTATGAGTCGGAACTGACTCCACAGTACTTAACAGTAACAAATACTCATCCATGCGTCATTCAGCCCATGCATTTTCAAAACTGGGGAATTACACACATTTGTATTTTCTCCTAAAAAACATTCAAACAACACTAGATCCACTAGAGTCACTATGTATGGTTGCCCCTTTAGCTAAGGAACATGTTTCTCTGTTTGCCACAGTCCTCACCCTTCTCTAGTGTCTATCTACCATGAGGGTATCTTATCTGTCTTTCCTGGGTTTAAGGAGTTCTGGTGGCACTGTGGGTTAAGTATTAGGCTGCTAAATGAAAGGTTGGTGGTTCACACCCACCAGTCTCTTCAAGGGAGAATGATGAGACTATCTATCTGCTCCTGTAAAGATTTACAGTATTGGAAACCCTGTGGTTATGAGTCAGGCTGCTACCCTCAAAGTCAGCAGTTCGAAACTACCAGCCATTCCGCGGGAGAAAGCTGAGCCTTTTTGCTCCCGTAAAGATTTGCAGCCTCAGAAACCCTATGCAGGATTGCTATGAATCGGAACCGACTCCACGGCACATTCACCACCACCACCATGGTCATCGTTCTATAGGGTTATTTGAGTTGGAATTGACTCAATGGCAGTGTCTTTGGGTTTGCTTTGGAGTTTTCTAAGTCAGAGACAACTCGATAGCAGTGGTTTTGTTTTCCCAGAGTAGGCAGACTAGTTTGAAAGCCCAGTGCCGATACATGATCCAGATTGTGGTACCGGGTTCTGATGAATGTCAGACACTGGAGAAGAAGTGAGACCACCATGGGGAGACAGAACTGGCACCCCCAACCTGCCCTCACAGGGTGTGGGGCATCCCTCCCCACCACTCAGGCCAATCTCAGTTGCTTCTTCTCATCTGGAAGCTTCTTGCTTCCAGGCCTCTGGATTTAAGATGTTTTCTCACTGATCTAAGGCCTCAAACCCACCCAGGCTGGCAGAATAACTAGGGAAGATAGCACCAGGTGCAGAGCTCACAAAGCTGGGAGCAAAAGAAAATATGAAAGGGCAGCGTCTACTGGTCACTTGTTCCCCAACAGAACGGGTGGCTCCCTAAGGCCAGACACATAGGTGCAGGACGAGATAAAATTAAGCCGCTTATCCCGATTTAGATGTTGAAGACAGCCACTGATCCCTGCACCAGTGAGATCTAACAGACGTCCCTCTGTCCTCTCTCCTGTGGGAGGAAGACTGGCAGCTACTCACCGCTGCCTGGCTTTCATGGAAAGCTCTTCACTAGCAGTCTATGGATGAGAATTGGAGGGAAATGAAAAAACACACACCACCACCAGATTATGGAACAAGTAGAGACAAAAACAACTGTATGAAAGGGGGTTTGGCAGTTCCATAAGTCGTCCTGAACATACACTTTATCCTCCTTTCACGGAGCAACTGAGACTCCCTCTCAGGAGAGGAGACTCGTGTGTTTTATCTATCCTGGCTTGTCCTTCTTTGAAGAACAATTGTGGAACTGTAGTGAGGACTGGTAATAACCATGGCAGCCTCCCTCTACAGAGACTACAGCTATGAGTTTGATCCCATGCTGAGCATTTTCCAAAGCCCTTTCCCTGCACTCTTATTTAAACCTCACAGCCACACTATGGCTTTCCTCGGTTTACCAACAAAGAAATTGAGGTTCATAGAGGTCACTCAGCAGTATGAATCTAGGTTTAAAGCTCCAGGTTGACTCCAAAGCTCATTTCTAAACCATAAACATCAAATTCTTATATTATTTCCTTGTCCAATGTTAGGTGTTCCTTGTCCCTGTTTTTGCTAGCCTTGGCATGTACCCATGCATGGAGGTCTGGTTGGATCTGGAAGACCCAAGTTATCGCTTGAGAGTGTAGAGGCATCAGAAGTCCTGCTGATACTGGCAGAATGCTCACCAAACTGTCCCTGGCACCGGGCATCTTCACTGAGTGGCCCGCACCTGTACAAAGTAGGGTTTCAACCTTCAGAGATCACTGACTAATGCTGACGTGGGAGTTTGCATGCTTGTGTGGCTCTGTGTCCCCTTCACCCTGAATTCTCAGTGTACTCTGGGCAGATCAGGGAAAAAGAGTATGCCATAGAAAATAGCATCCGTCATGCAAGCTGAAATACTCCATCTTGCCTCATTCAAGAGGCTGCCTGGAA